TGACAAGGTTTTACTCTGGTTGCCCACGCTAGAGTGCAATGACATGATCTTGGTTCACTGCAGCCTCCACCTCCCAGGCTCAAGTGATTCTCCTGCCTCAGCCTCCCAAGTAGCTGGGTTTACAAGTGTGTACCACTGCGCCCAGCTAATGTTTGTATTTTTTGTAGAGACAAGCTTTCACCCTGTGGCCCAGGCTCGTCTTGAACTCCTCAGCTCAAACGATCTGTCCACCTCAGCCCTGGATTTCTGTTACACGAGAAAGGAGTAAATGTCTATGTCTAAGCCACTATTATTTTCGCCTGTTGAAGCAGCTGTGTGCAGTCCTAACTGGCACACCTGGATTATTCAGCAAACCCAGAGACTAACACGTCCTCCAGGATAACTATGACCTTACAGTGCCCTTGAACTGATTCCACAAGTCAACCCGCAGCCTGAGGTGGAACCAAGCCTGCATACGTTTGGTCCACCCAATCTTTAAACTGAATTTGATGGCAAGATTTAAAAACCTGGGGGTTGCACATCCAATTCTAGATTTTTGACTTCTCTTGAAAAACCAGATCTAGTAACACTGGCCCTCTGCCCTCAAGCCAACAGTTGGCAGCCTCTGGGCAGGGGGTGCCCACTGTCCTCAGGCCCTTAGGTCCCCTTCCCACCCCAGCATCCCCCATCTGGCTATACCCACTTGTTTATCCCTCCCACCCTGGGAGGGTGTGAATGTGTGAGCACCAAGTCGCACAACCTAAAGTCGGTGACACTTGCCAGGCATAGGGACAGACCACAGATACAGCATGAGAGGGAAAGCAGGGTGCGAGAGGCAGCCAGTGACCCCATCCCTGCAGAGGGGCCCCCACAGGAGGAAGCCCAGGAGAGGGCCCTTTGGGGACACTTGGTTCCACCCGACACTGAGCTGCTTCAGCTCAGTGACTCCAGTTTGGCCTTTCCCCCTAAGAGGGTCCCCTCCACAGTCTGGGTGCTCCCAGCACTCTGGTGAAGAGAAGGTTCTCTTGCAATAAGACAGTCTGTATTTAGATTTTTTAATGGAATCAGGCAAACTTTTGCTGGACTATTTCCAAAACCCCAAAATCAGGGCTGTAAAACATGAGCAAGAAACATCTACTTCAACTTTTTAAAATAAGTATCGATCCTCTTTGCAAAGAAAAAAAAAAAAACAGAATACACAGAGATGGCTCAAGATGTGGGTCTCCAGCACCCCCACGTCCTTCCCCGATAGATTCTGAAGGAGTCCACATACATACGACTCCCCAGATACGTTCCTAAGTGTGCTCATGCCGCATGTTTCCACCAGTCCCGGACATCTTCGCGTTGCGCGTTTCACTGGCTGACACCCCTGCCTCCTTGGCGGGAAATCCAGGAGCAAGAACCCCACTGTTAGTGAAGCCTGTGTGGCGGCTGTCACACAGAAGGTCGACCATCCCACTCCAGTCCCACTGTGAGAATCTCCCACAAACCTCCCTCTCTGAGAAAATAAACTAACAGATTGTCTCCAACCAACCCCCAAGTCTAGAACACTCATTCCCCTCGGCTGCTGACTCGCTGGTACCCGCCCGAAACACCCTGGGACTAGAAACCCTGGGCTCTTGTGCCACTGAGAACCAGCTCTGGGTGCAATACTTTGATCCAGAATTCTCCTGACCGATCCAGGTTATGTTGCCCAATCTGCACAACCAGACAGAGCTAAACAAATTAAGCGAAGAGCCACATCCTTCTGAAGCGCTGGGTTCCCTGGAGTGTGCCTTACAGTGATGAAGTTTCTCTTCTTGGAGTGCGGCTAACGGAGGCACTGAATATAAACATCCTGATTTGGTGAATTTTCCTTCTGGGATTTA